TAGAGGAAAGTTGTATTTCTCATCGTTGTTACATCGCATCCTGACTGGCTCATCTCCTCCCCGGGTTTTACTTCTATTAAGTTTAGTCTACATTTAAGTATTCACACCAATGTCTGACTTTTTTTTGAGAAATAAGCATTTATCCACCTGTGAAAACTGGGCATCAGTGAGTTTTTAAATTAAAATATTTATGGAGGGTGGTCATAAGAGGTATGAAGACGAGTGAAGGCCTGACATACCAGGGCTTAATATGTCAATTTCCAGATGGTATACACTTGTAATTGATATAATCAGAAAGAATGTATTATGATCGCTATCTCACACAGTGTTAAAAGACTTTGAGAAAATAATGAAATGATACAGAGAAAGAAAATGAAATATAAAGTCAAATACTATTCAGATTCGAGATGAAAGCACTCTACAAAAATAGAACCAGATCGGCTTCCAGATTTGGGGTCTGCGTACATAACAGGCAGAAAACTGGCCATTGCCACTCCTCTCAAAATGAATTTTCATTAGATACAATCTCTTTTGAATGATTCCTGATTTCAAAGCCACTCTTTCTCCTATACGCAATGCTTATCAATTACATTAAAAATCAACCTAGAAACAAGAGTATCCTTCTAATGACATCTTAGTATTCAGACCTCTTTGGATTTACAGAATAGAATATATCTCAAGTATGTAACCTAAAACCTTGCACTAAGACATATTCTAAGCAGCTGCCACAAATACTGACCAGGTGCTTGACACATTTTGGGCCAGTACTACTGTCACATTAACCAAGGGAAAGTGTCAATGTTAGGCATGCTCAGGCCACAGAATCCTTGTCACTTAACCGGTCTATAACCAAATGAACTATGCAACTTTATCTTCAAAGATTTTAAAAACAGTATTTGTCTCTAAAAATGTACAGACACAGAAGCCAGGTCAGATAAACCCCTTAGGGATAAAAATGGGAGTAGCAATAGCAGGAGGGTAGGGGAAAGGTGGGCAGAGGAGGGGAGGAAGGGGGAACCACAATAATCATCACTTAACTACACACACATACACACAACCCAGGACGAGCAACAGAAACTGTGGGGGAAAAGAAACAGCAGTTGGTGTAAGATATGAAAATAAAAATAATTTATAATTTATCGAGGGGCCACCAGGGGGGAGGAGAGAAGGAAAAAGGAGGAGCTTATACCAAGGACTCAAATAGAAAGTAAATGTTTAGAAAATGATGGCAACATATGTACAAATTTGCTAAACACAACTGATTTATGGGTTGTTATAAGAGTTGTAAGAACTCCCAAAATGATCTTTAAAAAATTAATTACTTTAATTTTTTTAAATGTACTGAAATCACCTGGAATTTGATCATTCAATAATAATCACTAGCTATTTGTTTTTTTTCGATTTCACCTTTTTAGTATGCTTGCAAATAAATATATAAGAATCACAATAAGTATACTTATTTAGTATTTGAGATAGTTTTTGTTTTTGTGCCAGCATGGCAACCTTAGGAATATGGGTGGAATCTAGCCTGTCAATCAGGTCACAGTCTGATGATGCCTCCTTGTGGGTGTGACCTCCTCATAAGAAGGGTACTGGGAACCTCCCCTTCTCTGCTTTCACCTGTATGCTGGTGAGCCACACTGACACACTGAGACCTGCGCCAGAGCCCAGGAAATGCTTCCACTGTCATTTGATCTATAAGACTTTTCACCCACCCCTACGATCTTCCTGCATCATTACATGTAGTTTCATGAGTCTGAAGAGGGATTTGTGGACTAATATCGGACTTAGGACGTGAGTTGGACTAGGCTGGGATGTTTTCCTTATATACAATTACTTCTTGATATAAAGCTCTTTCATATTTTTTCTAGTCAACCGGCCTAACACAGTATTCTTGCTCTTTTTTTATTTTTTAAAGAAATACTTGTTAATTCATGCACTGTTTACTGGGTTCTTAAAGATTTCTTATATTATTTTTTAAGTGAATCATGTGGTACTATAATGCACAGAATAATTTCCTCTTTATTAACTTTGCCTGCAAGTTTAGATGAAACTTAAATCCCTGTATATTATCTCTAAAACCTCCTCACAGTTTAAACTTACTTCTTCCGAGTGCTCCAGAGTCAGCACGAATTTCACTCACCCTTCTGGGAGTCAAAGGGGAGCCAGCAATAAAAATCTCATCTGTTCTTTCCAGGTTCTGAGGTGGCATAACCTATACAGAAGGTTTACAAAGAATGCTAATATTCAAAAACACATTTAAGTAGAAATACACTAAAAATCTAAAGCACAAGAAAAGAAATAGACGCTTCATTTATTTAACCTAAGTAAAATCAACTGACTTTTTACTGACAAGTTAAAGTTAAAACATTTCTGAATGGCTCAAAATAATTCAAAGCCTGATCACTGGATAATAAATGAATTAACCTTCCTTATTGATTTGGAGAATCAGAATATCAAATACTTTTAAGATATAGAAATTTGGTTGGGAAATCAAGGCAGGGCACTGGACTTTTAATGTAACTGGATGCTTGGGGCATGTACAAATTATTTTTATGGCTCTTGCTTTCTCTAGGATACAGGGTGACTATTCCTTAGTAACCCCCCTTCAATGTTAAAAAAATACATGAAGTTTGTTGCTCTCTGTGAAAGTTGGTTATGAGAAGAATAAATATAGTTGTAACCTTACGGAAAGATAGGAAGATACTGTCACAAACCTCTTCACATGTAGGGACTCTGTTTTCATTATCTCTAATTTTGTCCCACAGCGGGGACTCTGTTTTCCACGCCAAATGATCTAATATCTGTTCTTCAATTTGATTAAGGTGTTTTACTACCTCTCTACAAAGGCCACTTTCTGCTCTAATGAAAACTTCTATCACCTAAAATAAATAAAAATAAGCAGGTTAGTTTAATACTTATTTAAATTGTACATATAAATTATATATGAATTCTCATTTAGTAATACACTAATATTTCAAAAAGTTTAATTAAAAACCATGTCTTTAATAGTCAGGCTGAAAAATATAACTAAAAACCAAACAATCAAATCTATACTAATGATATATAGTCAATTAATATGACCCCTTCTAGCCATAATCTCTTATGTAATAGGTTCTAATTCGGGATTCTATGCCTGTGGCTATGATCCCATTTTGGAGAGAGTTCCCTCTTACAGGATTAAGGTGGGTTAAATTCTGACTTTAATAGATGGTGTGCGCCAAGTCACGCCTTTATTTCCTTAGGGGCAATACAATCTTCATTTTCCTTGGAGTATGGTTGGCTAAAAGACAAACAACATCCCCATCAAAGCCATCTTATATACTGAGGTATATAAGAGCCATCTAAGAAACAGAAAAATTGCAGGACAGGTTGGAAGAGAATGCCCAAGATCTCTGACTTTAGTAGTAGAGGCCATCAAGACCAAATGCACCAGAGACTCAAGAGACTACGACGTACCTTCTCCTTATCTGGCCTGAGACTATGGAACTGTGGGGCAGATAGACAGGCAGGCTGGCTTCCTGGCACATTGTGGTAAAGGCCAAGGGATCTCGTGGTTGAGAGACTGAGAACCAGAGAAAGACTTCTTTGTCTGCTGGCTAGGAAAAGGTGTTGCTGTGGACCAATGACTATATCCTTACTGTTTGCTGATTATGACTTGTGGTAACCTATTAGATTCCCTAATAAACCCCCTTAATCAAGAATATTATCTGTCAGTTCTGTGTGGCCACCGCAATGAACTACCAAATCCAGCATAGAAGTACAATGCTATGGGAAGAATGCTTGGTATCAAAAGGATGTGTAAAGAAGTGTAAAGAAGGATGGAGCGTAGAGGTATGTCTGACTCCTGCCTTGCAGCAATAAGGAAATCAGAGGAGGTCTGATAGGTCCACCTCCAATGTGGTTTGCTGCAACCACGATGAAAACCAGTTTTGCCTTTTATATAAAATGTTAAAACATGCTCATATACTAAGATAATATCAAGAATCAAACAACTTCCAAATCAACATTGTAATTCTGTGCCTCGTGAAAAAAGAACTCTTTTTTTTTAGCACTTTTAAAACTCACAGTATTTTAAAAGCTTTTATTAGACAAAGGGAAGAATCAAATGACATTGCAAACCGGAAAAGGTCTTTCATACTACAGAAGAATTTATATAGGGCTTAAGACTGTCCTATTTCTTTTATGCTCCCTAAATAGATCATTAAAAAACAAAACAGAAAACTTGCTGTCAAGTTGCTTCCAACTCACAGTGACCCTGTGAGACTCAGCAGAAGTACCGGCTGGGGAGGGTTTTCAGGGCTGCAGTCTGCACGGAGGCAGGCTATCGTATCTTGCTTCCATGGAGTAGTGAGTCTGAACTGCTGACCTTTTGGTTGGCAGGCAAACCCTTAACCACCACACCACCAGGGGCCCTTCCACATAAGATTACCCATTGCCATCTAGTCGATTCTAATTTATAGCAGCTATTTCTTTATGAGAGCAGACAGCCTGTTTTCCTGTGGAGGACTGCTGGATTTAAACTACCAACCTGGCAGTGACTGCTCAAAGCTTATAGCGCCACTAAAGACTAATACACACATAATTAATTACAGAAGGAATGTACTAAGATTTGTAACATGAGTTAGATGAATAACAACAGGAAGTTTGTCTCAGCTACAATTTCCTTACCAGTCTCACATTAAAAAAAATACCTTATAAAAATGATAAAGTGGCACATCAAATATTTCAGTAATATGTGGAAAATTCCCTGGAGGTTTGTAAGAAAAAGTGACGACCTCAAGGCAGCAGGCCAAAAGCGATTTATGGAATGCATCCTGTTCCAGAATGCCCTATAAAACAAAGTTATTAAGCACTTAGAAAAATTTGCTCATTCTACAAAGACATTTCATACAGTCAAGTTAAATAAAAATGCCACAAGAATTCATATTTTCTGAGTTAGTGAAAAGTATGTGCTCATTTTCTTACAAAATGCTTCCTAAGTTTAAAAATAAGCATATCCCTCCCACCAAATATATATTAAAGAAATGTATAAGAATCTTTAAAACTCCTAATATTGGGAAATAGAGATAATAAAACTGATGAAATCTCCAATCAAAATAAGCAACAAAATTGATGCTTAGAAGAATAACATGGAGTGGTGTTACAAAACAGTATTTATATTAAAAAGTCACTGTTATAAAAAGATATCAGAAAGGCAGACAAGGAGGCAGGTTAACAGTTAGATCAATGTTTCCCAAAGTGAGTGGTACTGGCCCCTGGGAGGCACTCTAATAATCCATGGAGGCTAGCTGCAAAAGACGATACCTATATTGTACTATGGGAAACAATACAAAAGTTTTTAATTGCCAAGGGAGTGCCAAGTTCTTGTTTTTGTTTTTCTGAAAGGAGGTGGTAAGTCTCCTATGAACTAAGTCAACCAAAAGTAAATATGCTTTTCCCAAAATAATTTTTGTTTTGGCTTATTAACTTTCCAAAATTTTACATAAAGATGCTTGGTTTTTAACTTAAAAGTTACTTACAATAGTATGCAGGCATTTACTTATTGTTAGCCCAAAGAGTGTAAGTATTTTATATACCATTTTGTACGTATGCTTTATATTAAAAAAAAACTTAAGTCATTTAAATTCATATAGTCAATCTTTCCATTTATATGCAAAAACATAAAAAGTTATGAGACTGAAACATTTACTGGTTCATTTTATAATTTGACAAACTGTTATTGAAAATTTATTTATACTTATGTCATTAAAAGTAAACAGCATGTTTAATAATCAATTTGTATTTCTTAATTAGTGAAAATGAAGTACGGTCTAAATAAAGAATTATCATTGACAAAGAGGAATGGTTGAATATTTACATTAAATGCTGTGTAATTTATTCTTCCTCTATCAGGTCATACACTCTCTTCATTATTTAAAACTGCAATTAAATATGAGCTTGAGTGTCTTAATCCTTGACTACAGTCTGCCTACCCACAGAAGATTTCAGCAATAATACATGGCAAGCTTTATTGAAAAACACTAACTGGGGGATAAAAGGTAAAAGTCTTGGAAGTCACTTCCGTAGATGCTAACCTTATTCCTTCAAAGCTACACATTATTTTAGTAATAGCTTTTCTGTGGCAAAGTAAGATAGGAAACAAACTACTGGTCTACTGTGTTGACCAATACATAGGCTGTTTTACTCACAGATAAATCCCTGTCTCCCAGTCTTTTCTGTTCCTGCTCGATAACAGATTCCAATACTTTATAGTAAAGCACCTCGGCAAAACGAAAGTGTTTGCTGTCAATTTCTGCAGAAACAATAAAAACACAAAAATCGTAAGCAGAGAAAGTAAATATTTTGGGAAATGAGGGCTTACCTCAAACATATTTCGCATATATGTATGCATGCATCCAATTACTGTTTCAAATACTCTTATTGTTTTTACTCATCTTTAAGGAGTACTTCATTTTCCATAGTAACATTCACATTTTTAAAATGTAAATCTGCTAATGATATTACAGTTCTTCCCATCCAAATTTAAATTGCAAAATGAAATTTGAATAGGAAGAACTATAATATCAATCCATTAAGAGTCATACTATTTTTTCCCTTTATGTTTGAGTAAAGCAGCTTTATGGAATTGGTCTGCTATTCCACATACTTGGTGTCAATTCATGATATCCAACAAACTGTAGGCCAAGTTTGAACATGTAAGAGCTATTAGGTATTAAATTTCACATTTACAAATGAAAACCAAAGAATTTGCTAAATGAAAGAGTATCAGAGGTCCGATAGACAGAGGGTGTTGTTAGGTGCTGTCCGGTCGGTTCAGACTTGCAGCAACCAGGACAAACTACTGCAGCTTTGTGCCACTCTCACAGTTATGTCGGAGCCAAGGGATGCAGCCACTATGTCAATCCCTCTCTTTTCCATCGTCACTCCACTTTGCCAAATGTGATGTCCTGCTTCAGGGACTGGTCTCTCTTGACAGCATGTCAAACGTATATAAGACAAAATCTTGCCACCCTTGCCTCTAAGGAGCATTCTGGCCTTACCATATATACTTGAGTATAAGCCAACCCAAATATCAGCCGAGGCACCTAATTTTACCACAAAAACTGCATAAAAATGTGCTGAAAAACTCGGTTTATACACGAGTATATACGCCGACTTCTTGAAAAATATATTAGTTTGTCCTTTTGGCAGTCCAATGTACTTACAATATCCTTTTCTACCTCCACAATTCAAATGCATTGATAATTTTACAGTTTTCCTTATTCAATGTCCAACTTTCATGAGCTTATGATGCAATGAAGAATAAATAACACACACACACATACACACACACACACACACACACACAATCAGTGTCCTGGTTTTGTTTCGCTAGAGAGCCCTGTCTAACATAATGTTACCAGTCCAGTTGTGAGAATTTTGGTCTTCGTTACATTAAGTTGTAATCCAAACTGAAAGGCACAATCCTTGATCCTCATCAGCAAGTGCTTAATTTCCTCCTCATTTTCAGCAAGCAAGGCTGTGTTATCTGCAAATCATAGGTTGTTAACAAGCCTTCCTCCAATCCTGATGTCACATTCTTCTTCGTATAATCAGCTTCTCTAATGATTTCCTCAGCACACAGATTGAGTAAGTGAAACAACCCTGATGCTCACCTTTCCTGATTTTAATCCACGAAGTATCCACTTCTTCTCTTTGTACAAGTGCCTCTTAATCCATGTACAAGTTCCAAATGAACACAATTAAGTGCTGCAGAATTCCCATTATTCTCGGGGTTATCCACAGTTTATTTTAGTCCACAAAGTCAAATGCCTTAGCATGGTCAATGAAACGCACATAAACATCTTCTTGGTGTTCTCTACTTTTCAGCCAAGATCCACGTGATAGCAATGATATCTCGTGTCACATCTTCTTCTGAATCTAACCTGATCTTCTTGCAGTTCACTGTCAATGTGCTGCTGAAACTGTGGTTGGATGATCTTAAATAAAATTTTATTTATGCATGATCTAAATGATATTCTATAGTTTGAGCCTCCTGTTGGGTCACCTTTCTTTGGAATGGCACAAATATGGATCTCTTCCAGTCAGTTGGCCACATTGCTGTCTTCCAAATTTCCTGGCACAGACCAGTTTGGGTTCCTGTATTTCTTCAGCTTTCTGACATATTTCAATGGGTATTCTTGAAGCCTTGTTTTTCATATATGCATTCAATACAGCTTGAACTTCTTTCTTCAGCATACACACCTCCTGAAATGGTGGTCTGTTGATTAGTCCTCTCTGGTACAGTGACTCTGTCTTCTTTCCATCTTCCCGTGATGCTTTCTTCATCACTCAATATTTTGCCTACAGAACTGTTCACAATTGCAATTCTAGGTTCAAATTTTTTTAGTTCTTTCAGTTTCAGATATGCTGAGTGTATTCTTCCCTACTGGTTTTCTAATTCTAAGGCATTGCACATTTCATTATAATATTTGGCTTTGTCTTCTCGAGCGGCCCTTTGAAATTTTCTATTCAGCATATTTAGTACAACTTTTATTTGCTTTAGCTACTCTATGATTAAGAGTAAGTTTGAGTCTGTTCTGACATCCACTTTGATCTTTTCTTTCTTTCCTGTCTTTTAAAAAAATTATTATTAATTGGGAGCTAATACATATCATAAGATTCCACAGTTCAATCGCACCAAGTAAAATTGTACAAAATTGCTACCACAGGTTCCAACCATTCTTTTTCTTCCTGAACTCCTTTTATTTCTACACCACCACTGTACCTCCCCCGCCCCCCAAAACCCAACCAAACAGCCCTTCTACTTGCTGTTCCTATAGGTTCATCAATTCTGGGTTCCAAATACCGAAACACAGAAAGACATATAATACAACTTTATGAGGGTGACCTCCAAGGATAACACCTTTGAAATACACCCTAATATGAACAAACAAAAGTACATAAAATGCTGAAAACCAGATGAGGTCCAGCATGCATCACAGTGGGGGATCAACTGGCAAAATTTTAACTGCTCGTCAGATTTATGCCTTCGATCTTCTGTACTCATTTCTCCAATGCACTCTGTTTAGTGACCACTTTCCTCCATCCCTCAGTTGTGGAGAGAGGGGGTTGACCAGAGGCTTGTTTCCTATGTAGTTCCCCCAAATGAATCTTGGCTCTTACTGTCATGTCATCCACAGCCTTCTGCAAACCAGATTCTCACACTTTAGGCTATGATACTCACCCCTCCTTCGACTTTGGATTATGATTATGATGGTGTGTTTCTTCCATGTGGACTTAGTTGACATCTCACTTACATGGCTGCTTGTTTAGAGCTTATCCATTAAGACCCCATCTATGCTCTTTTATCTGCTAGACTGGCACCATCTAATTCTTTCACCACATTATGCTATAGCACCCATATCTTCTGTGTTCCCTTCCTGAATAACTTAAAAAAAAATTTTCTGAATGATCCTTTGCTTTCTTCATGAATGAAGGTCCCAATGTCCTCTACAGCTCCAGGTGTTCTGTCATTAATGTTCATATGTTAAATCTTAAGATATGGGATACAGAAAGGTTTTCCCCAGGTTGTCACCTGCTTGCTAGTGGTTGGTGGGAGTTAGAAGTTTTCTCCCTGAGGCAGGATTTCTTTCCTGAAGGAGAGCCAGAGTAAGTCAAGCCAGCTCAAGGACGGCCAAGGTTAGGCTGCCATATTGAATCTAGGTTCTGCCCATCTTGTCACATGTGTACCCCTAGTCCCTCCCTTTCCTATTGCATGTATACCGCATGATCGTCCCCTTCCCATTGCTTGTACTGCCTATGGCAAACCCCTTTCTGTTAGGTATGTGGTTACCTACAATCAGCGGGGCTTGCACATCCCTAAGGATATATAAGCCTTGGTTAGATATAAATGAGCCCTGCCTCCTCTCTTCTCCCACCTGCACATGGACAAGGTGTCTGGGTGGGAACGGAAGGCAAGGGCTGACCGAAGCACAAGGTCCAAAGCCAGACCAGCCTGTACCAGATAAGATAACCGATATCTCCCCCCAACTACCAGGACCCCAATATTGCCTTGCAGACCTGGTTAGACCAGATGATGCACAGCGGGACAGATGGGAATCAGAAACGCAGGGAATCTAGGACAGATGAACCTCTCAGGACCAGGGGCGACAGTGGCGATACCAGGAGGGAAAGTGGGTGAAGAAAGCTGCAAGGAATCAACAATCAATCCTCAGAGCAGTCAAACCCTATCCATAAATGCCGGACACTCCTTACCATCCCTTTAAAAACTCGCAACCACGAATGCTGGGCGCGACTTCCCGGACCTGTTGGCCTAAGTCACGGAACCTCGTCTGGGAGCTTCCCCCAATAAAGCTGTTTCTGTTTCTGCTCTCCTTTGTCCTATACTTTGTCTCCCTGTGCCTCAGCTTCGCCTTTACGCAAGGAAGAGGGGATGAGGTGAGCATGCTACCATAAAATGTGTCAGACTCCTTTATTTTATCTTCTCTTCTACCTTTCCTGTTCTCTATGACTTTACTATAATCTTTATATATCATAGTTGTACAATTGCTCCTATGGACCCCTGTGAAATTGTTAGAGGCTGGTTTCTCTAACATGAAGATAACCTCAAATTTCAGGTAGAAAAAACTCAAGGTCACGTTTTGATTCCTGTGGACTTATTTTCATTTTCTCCAGCTTCATCCCAAACTTACATATGAGCAATTGATGGTTTGTTCCACAGCCAGTCCCTGGCCTGGTTTTAGCTGCCGATGTTGAGCATCTCCATCGTGTCTTCCCAGAGATATTGTCCATTTGATTTTTTCTCCATTTGGAGAAGTCCATGTGTATTGTCACCTTTTGTGTTATTGAAAAAAGCATTTGCTATAAACAAGTCATTGGTTTAGCAAAATTCTTTCATACAATCTCCAGCTTCATTTCTATCACCAAATCCATATTTTCAAATTACCATTCCTTCTTGTTTCCATCTTTTCGCATTCCGATAATTTCATTTGTAAAAATTAACACCGTATTAGTACCAAATAGTTGGAGATGGAAAAGTTGCAAAAAACAACTCTTATAAGATGATAGTTTGCTCCATTTCCTCCCCACTCCACCCTTGAGTATATTCTCTGCAAATCCCTCAGGCTCTATGAACCACTGCAATGTCCCACAGAACTCATAAAACTTCAAGGAAATGTTTTACATGGTGGTGGGTACAGTTCAGTTCAAAGTCTGAAGGTCAAGTAGGGGTAAGCCAGATGCTGGGGCTAGAGGACACACCACTCCTGGCTCTTTCCACTGATGAGATCACACACCTGCTTTTCAGTGGATTCATTTAATAAGCAGCAAAATGGCATTGCAGGGAATCCTGTTCTAAATTACTCATAGGTGAATCCTATCAGTATCTTCCACATCTTCTTACCAGACCCATGCAGGAAGAGGTTATTTGGTTGGAGTTACGTGATGCAATCAAATTTTACCCACATGTAATAATCTATTATCTATCAATAATCTAATAATCTATTCTCTACCCCTGGACTGTGTCTTATTTATGTACACATGACCTGGGGTCTCTGGAATTATTTTCACAGTAGGCATTGGCCTCCAACTAATCTTAACCAACCAGACTTTTCCCCAGGCCACTCCAAAAACAGCTATCTTTCTCCTCTTAGCAGTAACATGTAATTCCCTATGTCCATTGTAAGTATAGTAACTAAGATAACCATTAACACAGAGTGTGGTCTGATTTACTCCCGCTACTAAAACCAGAAGTCAATCTCATCCCATTCCTGTTTGCTGGCAGTTAATGTCCTCTGAATGGGACATTATGAAACCCAATTATTATATAACATGTAAAGGATTGTGACCAAAGGGCCATATTAATTAAGCATAATTAAAATGGTCTTGAAAAATTCATGTGAAAAAACTCATGTGATCACTAGCTTTGTTTCTATCACCAAAGCCATATTTTCCAACTACTGTTGCTTCTTCTTAGTTTACAACTTTTGCTTCCTAGTTGCAAAAAATTGACAATGCATCTCAATTACATCATTGATCAATTTCAGGCTGAAGAAGTTGGTAGAAGAAGTTTTCAATTTCTTCATCACTAGCTTAAGTGGAATTTGAATAATAGTTGTCTTAACTGGATTTCCTTGTAAGAGTATGAGTATTATCCTAACTCATGGACTTTGGTCATTTTGTCAGGAGAGTCCAATACCTGGGAAAGGACTTCAAGCTTAGTAAAGTATAGGGCCAGTAAAGAGGAGGAAGGCCCTCAAGGAGATGGATTGACGCAGTACCTGGAACCATGGGCTCTACCAAGAAAGAAATTTGTGAATGTCTACAGGACCAAGCAGTGTTTTGTTCTGTTATACACAGGGTTTCTGAGTCCATGGCCCCTAACAACATCATCATAAGAAAACACTGTATTTAAAGGCAGATCTTGTAATGTTCTCTTTGACAATGAATGGGATGCCATTCCTCTTGAACTTGTCATCCCTGGCATAGTAAACCATGATTGTCTCATTCAAAATGCCCAATACAAGTCCACTTCAGCTCATTAATGCCTCTTTGAGCTCCATTTCATTTCTAACAATTTCCAATTTTCCTATATATATATACTTCATATATTTCAAAGTCTACTTAATAGATTTTACAGCTGTTTCTTCTCATTTCGAGTTGTCCCTCCATCAGCAAATGAAAGTCCTAAATGCTTTATACCATCCAAGCCATTGTGATGGACTCTACTGTGAGGAGGTAGCTTTTTCACTTTTATTTGGCGCACATTGCAATCTGAGGGGCTCATCTTCTGGCACTATAACTGAGGTTTTCTTTATCTGACAATGTTATGTTGCTATTCATAAAATTTTTAGGTGGCTAATTCCTCAGAGGTCTATTCAATCTTCATAATCTGTAAGCTCTGTTGAAACCTGTCCACCATGAGAAGCCCTGCTAGTATCTGAAACACCGGTGACAGCTTCCGGCATCACAGCAATGTGTAAGCCACCATAGTACATCAAATTGACAGATAAGTAGTGGATACATCAATAGCATTCTAAAATTTTTCCTTTATGAAGATCTAGAGATCACTTGGTTAACAGAAAAACTGAACACACATATTCCATTATGAGTCTAACGTCATAAATACTTTCTAATATGTCTGAGATTAGACAATATAAATGTGTGAGTCAAAAAGTATTTCTAAAAAATCACAGAAACCTTTATTACACAACTTTATCACAATGGGAAGGTATTGTTCTCAATATATCTCCTATCAAGGTCTTTAAATGTCTGAAGGTGGTGTTCCCCAACTCAAATAATGTTTTCCTTCTCTTTTCACACATCATGAATATTTATCAATTCAAAACACATGAATCTACACCGTGTGACCTTAGTCACCTAAAATTGTATGCTCAGTCACTTACATACATGCACAGGAAGTAGAAACACATGTCAAACTGTATCAAATCATCAAGATGATCTTGGATGCCTTTTGTTTTCTTTGCTTTTCAATTTTCTATAATGCACAAAAAAGCATGAAGAGGAAAAAAAAAAGTGACTTTTTAATTTCCATGGAGTCCCTGATCTATGAAGAATAAAGTTAGCGCGCATGCTTGCGGGCGCGCGTACACACGTTTTCTTAAATGGTGTTTGAGCTTGAGAAACAAAAAGAAGTCGGAAGGGGCAAGGTCAGGGCCATAGGGTAGATGAGTAAGGTTTCTCAACGAAGTTGTGATACATGAGCAGATATATTGCCATGATGGGAAAAAGTTCCTTAGTGCAACTTTCTTGGTCTTTTTCACAGCAATGCATTTTTCAACTTTAAAACGTCTTCATAATAAGCCTCCATTAATTGCACTTTGTCCTTTGAAAAAACATCAAAATTACCCCTTTGGGATCCGGAAACGTTTCTGAGTTGACCTGTCTGCTTGACTATAGCTGAAGCGACTCATGCCACAGTTTTCATTGTACCTTATTTGGAAAGTGACCTAGCAAAAGAGTGATGCAGAGAAAATGTCTTTACAGTCATCCATTGAGTACAGAGACATGTTTAAACATGTTCTGTTTGGAATAAATGTGTATGTAAGAGCTAGTACACAATACTTTCTGATGTACCCTTGAAAAGATATTAAACCTACCTTTCGCACAGTTGCTGAGATCCTCATCTGGCTGGTAATTCTGAGAATATATTTCATACATTTCTTTCAACCTATTAGCAATTGCCTCAGTTGGATCTCTGGAACATGTCCTGAAAAAGAAATAGGAAATTAGTTAAAGTCTTGCCAAGCCACCGAGATAACACTGTTTACAACTCTGTATTTCACTGGCATGTAAATATAAAATACTCTAGATAGAAACTTCCTAAATTAATCCAAGAGATCTCTTACTCCTTTCTAGTGCTATTAGCATTTTAAGTGGAAAAATATTTCTTGTGTGGGGCTATGTGTGGCACTGCAGGAAATTATGCAGCCTTGACGCCTGCTTGTTTGATATCTGGGGCGGGCTGCTATCTATCCTACACATTCTCAACCACTGATGTCAACTAAAGCGTCCTCCAATCTGTTCCTCGAGGGAAGCACAATTCTGAGAACTCCTGGAAGAAAATGGAATCTGAAGGAGTATATGTCTAGACTACAAACTCAAATGATTATTCACATTCTGTATTTGTCTCATCAAAAGTTGGTGATTTCAATTGTTTTCTATTAGAAAGGTAATACATGTTCAATGCAGAAGCACTATGTAAACTATCATCCTGGACTTTTGTATTTATGTTTTTTTCTTTGATCATATATACATATTAATTGTAAAAAATATAGGTTTAGAAAGTTATAAAGAAAAGAAAATAGAACAATATTGAAATGAGCGATCAGTTTGTGGTTGCCGCTGTTGGGAGGTGCCATTGAGTCAGTTCTGACTCCGAGACCCTGTGCACAACAGAACAAAACACCACCAAGTCCTGCACCAGCCTCACGCTTGTTCTTATGTTTGAGCCGATTGTTGCAGCCCCGGTATCAATCCATCTTGTCAAGGGTCTTCCTCTTTTTTGCTGCCCCTCTACTTTACCAAGCATGATGTCCTTTTCCAGGGACTGGTCTCTCCTGATAATATGTCCAAAATATGTGAAACATAGATTCCCATGACAGATTTATTTTTCTTTTGGAGACCCAGGGTTTGCTAAAAATTCTTAGCAGCATCATTATCCAAACGCATCCGTTCTTCTTCAGGCTTCCTTATTCAACATGCATGTGAGATGAACAAATATATACATATAACATAAAAAAAAGCAGGACTCTGGTTTTACCCAATATATGTTGGCAATATTTAATCCCACTATCTTAAGGAGCTCTAGTGGAGTAATGGGTTACAAACTGGGCTGCTAATAGCAAGGTTAGCAGTTTGAAACCAACAGCTAGCTGATCAAGAGAAAAATGAGACTTTCACCATTCGTATAGACTTACAGCCTTGGGACTCTCAGGCAGCAGTTCTACCCTGGTGTATAGGGTCTCTCTGAGTTGGAATTGTCTCAATGGCAACAAGTTTGGAGTTGGTTATAATCAAGAAATTTGGAAGATAAAGAGAGTACAGCAAGTTTACAATGTGTTTGTGTCTCTGAATTCAAGTACAACCAAGTCAACCTAAAACATGACTCAGAAAAGGTCACAGATTATTAAATGTTAATCACAATCAAACTTAGAAAGCAGATAGTAGAAAAATATAAAGCAAAACTTGGCAAACTCAGCAATTGATAAACCTAACTGTGGTTGCTATGTTTAGGTGCCATAGAACGGTTCTGGCTCAGTGATTCCATGTACAACAGAATGGGGCACTGCCCAGTTCTGTACCATCCTCACAATTATTGTATGTTTAAGCATATTGTTGTAGCCACTAAGCCAGTCCAGTTAATTGAGGGTCTTTCTATACATTTTTTGCTGACCCTTTACTTCACTAAGGATGATGTCCCACTCCAGGGACTAGATCCTCCTAACATGCCCAAAATATGTGAGACACTCTCCCCATTCTTGCTTTTAAGGAACATTCTGGCTGTACTTTTTCAAAGACAGATTTGTTGGTTCTTCAGGAAATCCATACATATTCAAGCCTCTTAGCTAATACCATAATCCAAATGCATTATATAGTCTCTGGTCTTCCTTATTGTCCAGCTTTCAAATCCATGAGACAGCTGAAAATTAAAGGTTTAGGCTAGCCGTACCTCAGTTCTCAATGTGACATCTTTTCTTTTTAACACTTTGAAGAGGACTTTTGCAGCAGATTTGTCCAATGGAATACATCACTTTCTGTCTTGATTTACATGGGCATTGATTGTGGATACAAGAAAAATTAAATCACTGTTATTGTAAATATTTTATCACAATGTTACTTATTGGTCCAGTTGTGAAGATTGTTTCCTTTAGGTTGAAGTATAATTGATAATGAGGGCTACAGTCTCTGATCTTCATCAGTAAGTGTTCAAGTTATCTTCAATAGCTACAAGCTGGGTTGTACCACCTTTATTTTGTAGGCTGTTAATGAGCCTTCAGCCAATGTTGAATGCCTTTTTCTTCATATGGTCCAGCTTCTCAGTGTGGTCAAAAGACACAACTCTGGTGCACATCGTCCCTGATTTTAAACCTCTCAGTATCCCTTGTTCTGTGTGCACAATAGCCTCTTGGTCTATGAACAGGTTCTGTATAAGTACAGTAAGTGTTCAGGAATTACCATTCTTCACAAAGTTATCCACAGTGGGTTATGAAATACACAGTCATATGCCTCTGCATAGTCAATAAAACAGAGATAAACATCTTTCTGGTATTCTCTGTCTTTAGCCAAAATCCAACTAATACCAGTCAGCAAAATCTGTCATTCCATATTCTCTTAGGAATCCATCTTGAGTTTCTGGTAGTTTCTTGTTGATATACTGCTGAAACAGTTTTTGAATTATTCTTAGCAAAATTTTACTTTACTTTTTTTTAAATTACACTGTTTGATAATTTAGGAATTCTGTTTGGATCGCCTTTCTCTGAAATGGGTACATAGACAAGAGTAAGTCAACAAGTATTGCTACCAAATCATAAAAAGTTTGAAACAAACTTATTAAAATGTAAAGCTACTGTTTCTCAAAATAGCCTCCATCTATGTCTATACACATCTGAAGGTGATGTTTCCATCTCTTCAATCAAGATAATTCTCTGCTCTTTGATTTAGACGATGTCAAAATTACAGTTTTGACATACTGGAGGGCCTCAAATTGTGTTCCTTTTTAAAGTTCTTTGATTTTTTTTTTTTTCGGGGGGGGGGGAGAGGAGACCTGAAGGAGGGAAAAATGAAGGCCATAGGGTAGAATGGGCAAGGTTTCTCAATAAAATCCTCAAAGGAGAATAGTCCTTGGTACCCTTAAGGATGAGCAATATTTGAAGAAAAAAAAAAATCAATGGCAAACATCATCTGCAACGAGGATAAACTGAAAACATTTCCCATGAGAAGAGGAACCACACAAGAATGTCCGCTTTATCACCATTCTTACTCAACATCATGCTGGAAGTTCAACTAGACCCAACAGACAACAAAAATAAATCAAGGGAATACAACTGGGCAAAGAAGTGGAACTCAGTTTGCAAATGATGCAATTTTATGTGTAAAAAAACCTCAAAGGTTCCACAAAAGATTGTTGGAAACAATTGTAGATTTGGTAATTTAACAGGATACAAGAAGGAGAATCAAAAACCAATTGGATTCCTGTATACTAGCAAAGAGAGCTCTGGAAAAGACATTAACAATAGCCAAAGAAAAGATGAAATAATTAGGAATAACCCTAAACAAAGAAAGAAAAGACCTGTACAAAGAAACAGAACTCTGGTGGTTTAGCGGTTATGGTCGGCTGCCATCCATATTGTTGGCAGTTCAAAACCACCAGCAGCTTTGTGGGACAAAGACTGGGCTTTCTACTCCTGTAAACAGTTAGTTTTATAAACTCACAGCGGAGTCCCTATGAGAGCCTAGACTCGATGGCAGTGAGTTTGTTTTTTTGGTTTGGTACAAAGAAAACTACAGAATACAATTACAAGAACTCAAACGAGACACAAATGGAAGAGTATACCATGTTCAAGGAGAGAAAGACAATATTGTGAAAATGCCAATACACCCAAAGCAATCTATAAATACAACACAATTCTGATCCAAATACCAATTTCATTCTTAAAAAAAAGGAAAAATGTATTACTAACTTCAAATGGAGAAAGAAAAGACCTAGGATAAGGTCAAAACTCCCTGGAAGAAGAAAAACTTAAGAGGCCTCACAATCCGACCCAACCTTAAAATCTATTACTTAGCCACAGTAGTCGAAACAGCCTAGTACTAGAACAATGACAGGTACATAAACCAATGGGGGAAAAAAATGAAAATCCCAAAATAAATGCATCTGTCTACAGATAACTAATCTTTGACAAAGGGTCAAAAAACATTAAGTGGGAATAACATAGCCTTTTGAACAAACAGTGCTGGCAAAATCTCCAGAAGAATGAAACAGGGTTCATAACTTCCCAAGCTGGATCAGAAACTTAAATGTCAATTTCAGAGTCGTAAGATTCATCAATGAAAAAATTGGGACACACTTAAGGGCCAAACTTAAGCTATAAGGTTCATCAATGAAAAAAGTGGGACAAACTTACGGGCCTACTATAGGGCAAAAAAATACTACCAAATGTAATTAAAGAAGCACACATATTAGAAGATAAAATAGATAACAGGGACACACGTGCCTCAAAAGACTTCTTCAAAAGCGTAAAAAAGGAACCACACACTAGGAAAAACTCTTTCGTAATGACACAACAAACAAGGGGCTAATTACTAAAGTCTACAGAAGTCTGTAACACTTCAATAATAATCCAGTTGAAAAGTGGGCAAAAAACATGGACAGTTCATCAAAAATGACATTAAAATGGCTAACAAACACATGAGGAATATTCATGATCAATAGCCATCTGGGAGATACAAATCAAACTGATATCACCTTATACCCCACAATGACAGCCCAACTAAAATACACACATACAAACATAGAAAACAATGCTGGAGAGGGTATGGAGAGATTGAAACTCATATTGCTGGGGGGGCTTGTAAATATATACAACCAGTGTGGAAAGTGATATGGGGCTACCTAAAACAACTGGTAGTAGAACTACCATCAGACTCAGCAATACCTCTGCTGAGTCTATGCCCCAAAGAAGTAAGAAACACAACACAAACAGACATATGCTGTTCCATGTTCATTGCGGCACAGTTCACAATAGCATTAAGCTGGAAACAGCCTAAATGTCCATTAAGTAGAAGAATGGATAAAGAAACTCCAGTACATACACACAATAAAACACTAAGGATGTCTACAAAACAGTGATGAAATCATGAAACACCTCATGGCAAGGATGGATTTGGAAACCATTATCCTGAGCAAAGCCATTCAATCATAAAAGGTTAAATGTTATATGAGACCACTACTATAAGGATAAAGACAAAGGTACAGTAGACATCTGTTCTCAGGTCATGCAATCTTCTAATCCAGACTCCCAAGTAATGAGGTGGTGTGCTTGCTAGTGCTCATGATCCACATACCATCCTCTTCAATATCTTACAAATCACTTTGAAAGCGGAGGTTTCACCTCAACTGGAGTTAGTTTCTCATGTTGGGAAGAGAGGGAGAAGCCCAATCAGTTCCAGCCAAATCGACACACCTACAAGGGTGCTCAGTAAACTTTAATGGAAATTCAAGTCCGGGTGGGCTAGTGGAGCATGCCTGTCTTAGAGAAGGGGATTTCACTTCTGCTTGTGGGTAAACCAGGAGGGGCAACCTGCCATTGGAACAATGCTTAACATTTCTTATGTAGAACCCCAATAGGAGAACATCCCCAGTATTGTGTTCCTACTTGGGCACTTTTGACCTAGTTTCTATCCAGCCCTTGGTGACCCAAACAGACCATGTGCAATAGACAAGAGGGACTGCAGACTGTCCTTTCGAGGTACACAACATCCTTCATAGGCCACACCAGAAGGATCTAATTTGGAAACCCCACTAAGTGTGCTTGACTTTACCTTAAATGCACATGGTAGCATATTAAAAACAAAACAAAACTGAAATACTCCCTTGGATTTAAGGCTGAAACCCCCTTCTGTGAAAGGCAACAGATGACTACTATCCCAAGGTTATGGATTTGGAAGTCATTGGACTTTGGTTCAAACCTCTTGCTTTGAGGGTGCTCAATAAATGGCAATTCAAGACTACCACATATTTGCTGTTTTCAGCTATTTGATTTTTTTTTTTTAATGACAGACATAGTTCTGCCTTTGTAAGTAAGTGATATAGAAAGTTTTGCCCTATCTACAAATCTCATTTTTGGTATAGTTTCCGGTCGGTTAAGTTTTTAATCTGTACAAGTCAATAATACATGCATTTTAGTTTAAAAAGCTGTTCTACACATGAATATTGTTCTTTAAAATTCTATACCATTGGCTAAATTAATGATGCTATCAATAGAATTACCATATGCCATGGGGGTGATTTATAATATTCTCCAGTAAGATAAGGATGTCTCTAAATTAAACCAGGGACATATATATACCATAGATACATGAATCAATTTTGAGCTTGTACTTCATTGTAGTCCTAATCTAAGAACTATTAGTTCTTATCACATGGCCCTACGCAATCCTTGCCTTCATGAAGAGATCACTGAAGATAAGGTGCTCTAGCAAAGTGTGGTGAAAAACTCAGTTGGTGCCCAGCTATCAGAAAGAACAGCATTTGAGGTCTTAAAGGTTTATCTTTAAAAAAGCAGCCATCTAAGTGAGGTGTCAGCTGAGGCCACATGAAGTAGCATACCAGTCTTGTGATCCACGGATTGTAAAATATAAAATCCAAGATCAAAGGAGGGAATTGTATTAGATCTTAAATTCTGAGCAACTAATTTACAGGACACTATGGATAACAGTAAAAGGTCAACATCCATTTGCAGGGTCTCCTGTAGATTAATCCTCCAGTGAATCACTCAACCTTGCTATCAAATAGATTGCTTTGGAAAGTAGATCAATGCATATGTAATTAGGTTAAAATTTAACCCCTTATCATTTGTTCTCCCTTTTGATGTTTTAAATTTTAGAACAGTTTTTAGTATTTTCTGTTGTCTTTCTATTGAGGTTCTTTTCTATTTTATTGTTATTGTTAGATTTTTGTGGTATGTTTTTCTTTATATGGAATCCAGAATAGATCAATCTATAAAAACAGTAACTGGATTAATAAAATCTATCAAGATTACTTACCCCTTTGAAATTAAAAAAAGACATTTTCTGAGCTGACCTTTCTTCTTTGAATTTAATTGTTCAACATTTTCTGAGCTGACCTTTCTTCTTTGAATTTAATTGTTCCAGCAGACCTCCGCAGTATGACTGGACTTTGCTCTCTAGATTATATTGTTAAATTCAAAACTTGCCTTCATCCCACAAAATAGTCATTATTAGCTTCAATCTCATTTAAAATTAAAAAGCTTTTTAAGCTTGCTGATCTTGGTACAACACTTTTGGCATCTGTCAAGCCAAAAACTTGCTAAGGTCAAGATATACGCTTTAAATTGAAAGTGAGTACTATGGATAAGCTGCTGATGCTTGAAAGAGGGGTAGCACAGCTCCCATTATCACAGGAACACATCACAGCACAATGAACTGATACTAAGTGGGAAATTACTAATTATCTGCATATAACACAAGAAATGGGTGCTTGGGTTCAATATCATAAAAATCAAACTTTTAGGACAAAGAGGAGCCAAGGTGATTTTTGTGAAATCAACTTGCAAAGATTAAGCAGATGGTAATGAAAGGCAGTTTATTGCACTTCTCTACCAGTGGCAGTCCTGCCAGTCTTACACAGATCAAAGGTACTAAAAGCAGTGAACTTCGATGTACAGTGGAGTGCGATGTACAGATCTGAGAAAATTTACAGAGGCTTTCCTCTTGCTTTTTGAACATGTGCAACTCCCCTCTATCTTTTCAAATCTGGCCCACCCACCAGAACTTTGCGTAGATCCAATCTTCTTCGGATTCCTTCCTTCCCATAAATCTTGAGGAAGAATAGTCTGTGAAACAGTTTAGTGCTTTAGGCTAGTGTCCAGTCTTATCTGTTATCTTTTGTACTGTTTTAAAGAAACTAGAGAAAAGATGATCTTCTTCTAGTCGTACATTTTAAATTGCTGTCTTTAGAGTAACAACAGGACTGAACATGCAACCGAGAAAATTAAAATTAAGTAATTAAGGCAATAATAGGTGAAAACTGAAAGATTCTCAACAACCAAATCTTGGAAGGCCGACCAGGCTTAAACTTACCTTAGAATCTGTTCCAACTTCTCACTTGGTGCATTTCTGAGACCTGTCAGCATTGTATGAAGACGGCTCAAGCTATGTGTAGCTGTGGAAACTGGGGTCACACAAGGGCTGTTTTCCTTAACGTACCTTACCCCAGTAAGTGGTGTGGAGATATGAAGTGTTTTAGACTAAAAGAGAAAACATTAAGTAGAAGTGAGGAGAGAATATTATTTTAGATCAGAAATATTTTCAATTACCTCACAGATGGAAATTCAAATCACTTGATTTTTACAATGTCAATACATTTTTATAATTCAAATATCACCATTCTTGGAATTTAAATGTAACAACACTAAGAGCTACCACTATTCATCAATGTGAAGATGTTCTAAAGGACAGTTGTATTTTTCCCAACTAAGAGACTCTCTTAGATGTTAAATTTTTAGTTGACCCAGGCCGTGCACTATAGAGTACTGGAACTTTAGGCGCTGTTCTTTCCAGGGGTATAACATCCTTCATAAGCCACACCAGAAGGACTTGATGTGGAAATCCCACTAAATGAATGGGCTTTACCTCAAACTCACCTGTAGCCCTTGAACTTAAGGCTCAAATTCCCTAGTATGAGAAGCAGCAGACGACGGCTATAGAAGGTATAGAGCTGGTGACCACTGGACTTTGTTTCAGATCTCCTTTTTGTTTGTTTCCGGTCACTTGCTTTGAAGGTGCCCAATGAATGGTGGTCCAGGACTATCAAATACTTATTATTTCAATGCCCTTCTTGCTTTACTATGACATATACTAATCTTGTGGGTGTAGTTCTGCTATGGTGAATGAATATTTTTGAAAATTCTGTTCTATCACCAACCCCAAATGTTGTGCTAATAGTGTCCAGTCACTTAAGAGTTTAATATGTACAAATCAACAGTTCATGTATTGCAGTCTGAACCTAGCACATGCTTGTATAATTTTCTTTTCTCAACAGTTTTAAATTCTACACTACTGGCTAAATTAATGTCACCATCAATAAAATAACCTTATATACTATCACGTATAAGCTTTGTTTTTCAGCACATTTTTAATGCAGTTTTTGTGGTAAAATTAGGTGCCTCGGCTGATATTCGGGTCGGCTTATATTCAAGTATACATGGTATCTCATGCCCGACAGGGATGATTTCTAATATTCTCTAACATAAAATGATAATGTCTCTAAAATGAACTAGAGACATACGTAAACCATAAATATATTAATGGATTTTGGGCTTGCACTTAATTCTAGCCCCAATCTAAGAACAATTAGCTCTTATGACATGGCCCTGATCAATGCTCACCCTCATAAAGATAGGACTGAAGATATGAGTGCATAAGTGAGGTGAGAAAACAAGATGGTGCCCACCTATCACAAAGAATAATATCTGAGCTTGTGTTCAAACAAGCAGCCATCTAAGTGAGCTGTCAACTAAATCCACACAGAAGTACAGCAACCTGTGCAATCCAAAGATTATAAATAAAAAATTCCAAATCTGGAGGGAATGGTATCAGAGCTTAAATTGTGGACACCTGGTTTGCAGAAGACGGTGGAAGTTCAAAATCCATATTCAAGGTCCACACATTCAAGTCTGGTGAGTCCTCTGACCACAGTGAGGGGTATGAACAGTCTTTATCAAAAGACTTGTAAAGTTGATTATGGAAGATGTAGTCAGGTTAAAATGTATTAATTTTATCATTTGATCTCCTTTGATCCATTTTAAAGTTATTTCAGTTTTTGTTTTGTTTTTTAAGTGAAGGGACAATGCATATGGATTAAGCCTAGGGATATAAACAGCCTTTCAATCACGCAGAATACATTGGAAAGTGGATTACAGCTGATGTAGTTAGCTTAAAATTTAACACGCTTGCTACCATTTGATCTGTTTTTGACCCATTTTAAATTTGTTCTAGTCTTAATATTTTCTTTTATTTCTATTGAGGTTTTTCTCCGTTTTACTTTGTTTTTGTTGTTAGTGTTTTTGTCTCTTTTTTAATGCTTTTCTGTATATGAAATTCACGATAGGTAAATTCATAGAGACAGTAACTAGAAGTAGTTTCTTGGCGACATGGGAAGGGAGATTGGGGGAGCAGGGGGGAAACAGGGCAGTAGTAACAATGAGACCAGGAAAGAAGAAAATCTTCTAAAATTGATTGTGCTGATGATTATACAACTCTTCTTAATATGAGTGAACTATTGGCCTCTATCATATGAATTAAAAGCCAAGAAAATTGTCTTAAAAAGTTAAATTTTTATAATAAGATATATTTTCCCAATGTCCATTCCTCAAAAATAAAGCTGTAAGGTAAAGGTTAGCATTGTATTCATTTTTTAAAATTAAGTCCATTATTCTCTTCTCTGAGAAACAGAATTTCACAGTTTCCATCTATTTTTGCAAATATTTACAAAAGAAGCTACACATTAAATTGGGCCCAAAAAAATCCATGGCCTAGGAAAAATTCATTGAAGTAATCAAATATGCTTTAGAGACAGAGGATAAACAAGCACATCCCTAATTCAGAGTAGCCATTAGTGGGCCTCTTCCTATAAGCTACCTTTAGTTACTGAAATTTATCAGTTATCAGGTTTTGTTTTTTTCCTCAAGTACAGAGATTTTAGCAAATAGGTTAAAGTCACCATTTTAAAATACAATTATGAAAAATGACTTGGTTTCAAATAAGTATGAGTACATATGCCAAAAGGATATCTTTTAGAATATGCCCACACAAACCTGAGAGACTAAATAACAAAAAAATAACAACAAAAAATGCCACTGAGTGGATTCCGCCGCAGGTGTCTGTCAGAGTGAAACCGCGTGCTGTTAGGGCTTCTGATGGCTAAATTTGTAGAAGTAGATTTGATTACTAGTCTTTCCAACTCCAGGTAAATGTGAACCCCTTACCTTTTCTATTGAGTACGTTAACTGTTTGCACCACCTAGGAATTAGTGCCTTTAGTTTTTCAAATAAACCACATTTCTTTGTGTATTAAATGTACTTATTCTAGGGAAAATTTTAGGAAAAAAGCTAAGAAAATGTTATCTGGCAAAAGAATAAATGACTCAAGTTCCATGAGATAGCGAAAAACATAGAAATTCATTATGAAAAAAATGTATGCTTTTTCCTATGACTTTTAAGTAGGGTTGGGTCAAGGTCTCCATTTTGTTGCTTTTAACAATCGTGCTCTCAGAGGGAGTCAACATGATCATCTGAGCACAGTAACTGCGTTCGGAAGTTCCCCCTGCCCGGCATGGCTTTTCTTCTCCTGTCTTCCCTCGAACTTGACCTGGTACCTGTGCTGGAGGGAAACACCGTGCTTGCACTTACCAGGGAAGCAACAGCAGCCAGCAGTGTACAACCTCTGCAACCACAGGCAGCAGTGCTTCACAGACAACTAGGTGTCATAACCACACACAGCTTCTTGCCCAGAGTCTCAAGGTCGAAATATAACTTCTTGGTAACATTACATATGAGCTTAAAATCTCTCTGTGGATCCTGGTCGAGGGGAGCCCTTCATTAACTCAGACATAGAAATTAGGCGACAGTTTTTGAATACATCTGAGCTCTTCCTTGGACCTCTTTTCTTTCCCTATCAACTCTATCCCTACCTAGTCTCTCTTCATTCTAAGGCTTAAAGCTATTCACACCTCAATGACTCCTGGATATATATCTAGTCCACTGTTACAGAGTTGATTCCGACTCACAGTACACTATTATAGGGTTTCTGAGGCTGTGAATCTTCCTTTTTAAGCAGTTTTATTGGCACATAATCCACCCATCATACAACTCAATAGTTTAATCATATCAAGAAGAGTTGTACAATCCTTACCACAGTCAATTTTAGAACATTTTATTCTTTCTTGTATTTACTGTTTTTAGCTTCCCATCTCCCCCCAGCCACCTTTGCCATGACCTCAAGACACCATTACTGCAGTTACGACCTTTAAAGATTTACCCATCCTATATTTCACATACAGAAAAATATACTAAAAATAAAAAATAAAGCTTACTTAAAAAACAAAAACTAATAATAACAAAGTAAAAGAGAAAACCCTCAATTGAAATGAAAGCAAAAAATATTAAAGCCTAAAACAAATTTAAAATGGGTCAAAAGGGAGATCAAATTAAGGGTTTAAATGTTAACCTAACTGCATCTACAATAATCCATTTCCACTGCGTTCTTCACGATAGCAAGGCTAATGACATCCCGTGCATCGACCAGAATGCACCCTAGGTGATTCCCCTTCACTATGTTTTTTTAACTGAAACAACTTTAAAATGAGTCGAAAGGGGAGACCCAGTGATAAGATATTACCTTTTAACCTAACTACCTCTGCCTTGATTGACTTTGAGGCAGTAAATCTTCACAGGAGCAGGCAGTCTCAACTTTCTCTCACTGAGGCAGGGTGAATTTGATCCGCTGACCTTGCAGTTAGCAGTCCAATACTGACAGTGTCACCAGAACTCCTTTGCAGTGAATTCCTGCCTAGCATATCTAAACTGTCTACTTACCTTTTCTGCTCGGATCCTCGGATCCTTCAGTGATGCCCCAAACTTCACATTCTCCTAAGCCTAACTCTTGATTTTTCCTTCAGGGTTCCTCTTCTGTAGATTCCCCTCTCGACATATATCAAGAGCAGATACTTACAGAATACCTGTACTTCCAAGCACTGGAAACAGACCTCATGAAGCTTATAAACATCTCTCCCTCAGCCTACCTACCTACTATGTAATGCTGCGGTTTGTTAATGTCAACAGTGAGAAATACTTAGGGAAACACTAAAAGCAAACTAAGAAGAAAAGAAGTCTTAAGGTTTGGTGAGGATATTGGTGGTTTTATTTATATTAGTAGTCAGATTATAAGAGATATGAATGAAGGGACAAAATAAGCCATGTGGATGTCTTGAAGAAACATATTCTAGGTAGAGAAAGCATCAAGGGCAAATGCTTAGTGTTAGGACACGCCAGGCCTGTGTGAAGAACAACAAAGGTTAGTGTGGCATGAGTGGAATGAATGTGGGGCCTGTGGTCAGAGATGAATTCACAGAGAAGGCAGAGTCAGATCATTTACCACCTTACAGGCACTTGTATGCAATAACCTCAAGATTTTATACCACTCACCCAACTGGGGTCATTATTTTTCCCTCTCATACCTTAGGTCTAAACCATCCATAAATACTGGGGGCACTACCTATAAAATATATCCCTAATACATCCATTTTTTTGGTCTAAGCCACCATGAACTTAATCACCAGAATCTCTAATTCCCTGTTTCCACCCGGGCCATTTCAAGACCTTGAAAATCTGAAGTCAGATCATGTCAGCCACTTTTCCCAATACAGCCCCTTAAGGGCTTTCCACCTTACTCAGAGAAAAAGCAAAAGTCCTCTGTCAGGTGCTAACTGAGCTTCTTGGAAGCACATACTCTCATATCATCTTTAAATCTTAAAAAAAAAATCCTCGTAATTCTTCTTTAAACCAAACAACCGTTCAACTTAATAAGAATATGTGCCTTAAGCACTGTGTGCTTTTTTAAAGAATGATCTACGAGAGATCAAATTGACAACAGCAATTTGCAGAGTTAGATAGAAAGCTTGGTGGGTAGGGGGTGATTTTATGTTTATGAAAGAGGAACGCTTGGGAAAAGAAAAGCAAGAATGGATGTACAACTTGAATAATATAATCAGTATCACTAAATTGTATGTATAAAAATTAATGAATTTGTATATGTTATGCTGTATTTTTAGCAACAAAGATAAATTTTAAAACAAAAGTGCTTAAGTGGCTTCCAAAGCCTATGATCCACCTGTTCCTCTTGCCACACTCCTATGAGTCTACCACCACCACACTGGCTCTCACTCGTCCTCAGGAAAGTTAGTCACATTTCTAACTCAGCGCGCTGCACTTAAGACCTGCTCTTGGTCTTGACTGTAAGCAGACAAAAGTTTTCTTCTGTCACTGCAAGCACTTGTCAGAAATTACATACACTCTCTGACCACCACACAACAGTAGGGCAACTGTTGTTGCTGCCATCATTTTAAATGTGTGCTTTAAATAATACCACAAGATCCTGAAACTCAGTTTAACAGTTTCCTTGCACTGAGGGTTTGCAATTTGTCCACAATTCAGTCTTCTGGACAACAGCATCAATTCATGTCAATCACTGACTTTTCTAAATTCTATCCTGCTCCCTATTATATAAGGCTATGTATTACTGACACATCTTTTCAAAAGCAATTGCATAATGTGTTCATTTAAGTTTACATAATACTTCCTTTTCTCACCAAGGCTAAAACTTTGAAAACTACTGTTAACAAAAATCAAAGCAAAAAAAGAACCTTTCTAATGAAAGCAATGTTATGGAAACCCTCCTCCCCTAGTAAAAGCAGGAAATAAAATTTAACAATAGAAACTAGACCCTCCAGCATGTCTTCTCCTTTACTCCTGTCTGGAACAGCTCAGCTCACCTTGTCAAAATGCTGCTGCAAGATGTTTTTCACCTGTACCCTTTCCGCTGTCTCTGTTCCTGAAGCAGTACTCAGACACCTCGAGAGAGTCCCAATTTCTTCCTCAGCATCTTCTCCAAGGAATATCCGTTCATCTAAATTTCCGACAGATAAAACATACTCCTCATAGGCCTTATTGATGGCTTTTCTATGGGAAAAGAATAACAGACAAGTAGTACACTTTCACAAAACTGTCATTTCAGTTAATGTATTAAGCCACTTATTTCACTCTACAACATTAAAAGTTCTAATACATTTTTTAAAGCTAAATTATAGTGGGATCACTGTAAAGTATAAAATGTAATCTTGCAACACTATGCTTGTTCATGAGACAGTAAATTTTGCTGTCAGTATTTTAGGGAGGGGGGTACCCTTTTGCCAAGCTGCCTCAGGAAACCCCCAGGACTTTCCCAACCATCATTTTTCACCTGAATAGCTACAAAAGATTCTTTTTTAAAGAGAGGATACTCCTGCCTTAATGTTGGAGGTCCTGGGTGACTTTGGGTGGCCACAGAAATGTGTAGACTTCTAGTTCTTGGGCCTGTCAAATTTGTTCTCTCCTTCCGGACCCAAGGCCATAGCCACAACCATGCTGTGCCAGAGCCTCGGTCAGGTCCAGAAGCACCTGAGTTTGATACCGCCCTTCCTTTCTACTGGAGCTGGCGGTACTGGAGTAGCACTGTTATGTGTCTGGTATAGTTTAATGCAGATGTCAGTTGAGACAGAAAGAACAACCCAAAACCATGGAATAAACTGGGTCCCAATGAACAATCTAGTTCTTCGCAGTGAATATGGGTATTAGCAAACTGAAGGAAAAAGGCCCTGACTTCTAAATGAAGTGTTTTTCCATAAAGCTGCTTAGAACTTAGAACGAAGATCTTCCAGAAGTTACCCACAGTTTTCTACTTAAACAGAATATTGTTGTTCCTTAAATACATGAAATCATGTTGGTATATTGTGTTGGGGTTTATACTGAATAATAAACATCTGGAACTTGAAAAAAATGTATGGAACTATCTACATATAGGTATGGGTGTGAGTTTTTCTATATACATATCTGTGCTATGTATATATTCATATATAGAACAGAGCATATACAGGCAGTTATGAAAAATTCTTTGACATAACGAAACACCTAGCAGGACTGAGTTACTGATTCTGAAGTGAAAAACAGGAGAAATATACATTGGCATAACAGTTCATACAATGTTCCACAGCCTTGTTTAGTGAGTAAAGTCTGGAGTCTTCAAAGCTCATAAGCTACCCTCTCACAACTGGTCTCCTCCACCCAGAACGAAGGAGAGTGAAGAAAACGAGACTGCGGGAAGCAGTTTGTGCTAATGTGCAATGGTCCACATGAACCACAGCCTCTTCTAGCCTGAGATGAAAAGAACTAGGGGCTGACCAACTACCATTACCGACCACTCTGATCAGGGCTACAATGGAAGGGCCTAGTTGGAATAGGCAAAAAATGTAGAACAAAACTCAAATTCATTAAACGTAGGACAAAATCTATTTGGTGGATAAAAGCTGGAAGAATCCATGAGACTGCTGCCCCAACTTGCCCTTCTAAAATGAAGCTGAAATACTTCTGGAGGCGACCTTTCCACCAAACAGACTGGACTGTAAAATGTGGAACAACAGCTGGGAGGCATGTGCTTCATAGAACAATCGACTCTGTAGGAATAAAAGGGCAACATTTGCCCTGAAACAAAGACACAAAGGCAGGAAGAGGCCAGGACACTGGATAGTGAAAATGGGGAGGGAGCTGATACATGGCGGCCATTGCAACCAATGTCACAGAACAACCTGCATATGCATTACAGAATAAAAACAAACTGTCCAAACTTTCACCTAAAGGACAATCATTTTTAAAATAAAGCTTTAAAGAACAGCCAAACTTTTCTCAATATTGTTTCCAATGTAAGCAAAGCATTTTTATTGCTTCCAATACTCCCCACAAGCCACATGCCAAATTTCTAAGGTACACAGAGCAAAGACACTAGTCTCTGAGGTTTGTTAAGGATATAATTTTTTAAAATCCTTTTTTAATAAGGATATATATTATATCCCCCCAAGGACATAATTTAAAGTAATTAAAACAACTTTAAAACAGAAGTACTCACAAACTCTCTCCAAAGTTTCCAGGCTCTAAAAATCCAGTAAGATTTTCTTCTTTCCCTCTAAGGAGCTACAATAAAAGAAGAGATCCTAAGTCATCAGAGTAAATAACATTGTCCCCCCCAAAAAACATTTCCCATTACTACTTTGTTGCTTACAAACCTTTTTTTCATAAAGTTTTCTAATATAGGGCTTCCAAAAATGTTCCTTTATTCCTTTTGCTTCCAAAACCAAGCCATCATGTAAAGAACACAATTTCTCAATGACACAAGGTGGGTCTGAGAGAGGTTTAGAATCCTTACCATGAGACTCTTCAGAGAAGCCTAGGCGTATATAGAATATAAGGCAAAAGACATATTAATACTCATTAACAAAATTGCTAAAAAATAATAACAGTAATAAATAATAGGATAACCAGTATATATCAACATATACTAGAAATAATGCACATATGCCCAATTTATTAACTAGATATACCTTTAAAAATAGCAAAGAAAGGTAAAAGTGTATTATTGCTGCATAGATTTGTTATTCAATTATATATCCAGAAGCAGTTAAGGCAAAAACTTAAAGGCGAAAAAAAAAGTATATTGCCCTAAGACCCACGAAGCACGAACATAAACATAACTTTGCAAACTGTCACCTTCAAACAAACAAACAAAAAATCACCAATCTACAAATAACTACATTGTTCAAAGATTTCACACTCTCAATCCATTATGTTAGATGTGCTCTGCAGCTTCTTCTTGCCCTACACTCAAGAGCAAGAAAAAACAAAATCTCAGAAAATGCAAAATAGGAAAAGAGAAGGGATGCAACTATAGGAATAAAAAAGGTAGTATGGAAGGAAATGAGAGAAATGGCATAAAATAACATAAGGAATATTCAATTAACCAAAACAGCAGCACTTGAAGTAATAATGCCAATAATTTTACAAATCTACGTTGATGGCAAAACAACTTAAAATTCTAATTAGAACTCTCCACAAATTGACAGCCATCTAAATTCCTACCATGGTTATTGTCCAAATAGCAGCAGTACTGCATAAAAAGTTCTATAAATATTTCTTTTTTTTTTTTTTAAACATTTTATTAGGGGCTCATACAACTGTTATCCCAATCCATACACACATCAATTGTGTAAAGCGTATTTGTACATCATTTCTCAAAACATTCTCTCTCCATTTAAACCCCCGACATTAGGTCCTCATTTTTCCCCTCCCTCCCCGCTCCCCCCTCCCACATGAGCCCTTGATAGTTTATAAATGGGTATTTTGTCATATCTTGCCCTGTCCGACTTCTCCCTTCATCCACTTTTCGGTTGTCTGTCCCCCAGGGAGGAGGTCACACACAGTTCCATGTAATCGGTTCCCTCTTTCCTACCCATTCTCCCTTTACCCTCCCTGTTTTGCCACTCACACCACTGGTCCTATAGGGCTCATCCATCCTGGATTCCCTGTATTTTCAGCTCCCATCTGTACCAGTGTACCTCCTCTGGTCCATCCAGTCTTGCAAGATAGAATTCGAGTCATGGTAGTGGGAGCGGGGAGGAAACCTTTAGGAACTAGAGGAAGGTTGTATTTCTCATCATTGTTACATCGCACCCTGACTGGCTCATCTCCTCCCCGAGACCCCTCTGCAAGGGGATCTCCAGTGGCCTACTAATGGGCTTTGGATCTCCACTCCACCCTGCCCCCATCATTCACTATGGTAAGATTTTTTGTTCTGATAATGCCTTACACCTGATCCCTTCGACACCTCGTGGTTGCATAGGCTGGTGTGCTTTTTCCATGTGGGCTTTGTTGCTTCTGAGCTTGATGGCCGCTTGATTACCTTCAAGCCTTTAAGACCCCAGACGCTATACTTTTTGATAGCCGGGCACCATCAGCTTTCTTCACCACATTTGCTTATGCACCCATTTGTCTTCTATAAATATTTCTTAATAATTGCTTAATAAGTCATACTTTGGGCTCCTACTAGATCTCATTTATAAGACTTATATACTTTAAAGCCTTCTAAATGCATTTGCCAAAATAATTACCATTTCCATTCAACTATTCATTTTATTTTATAAACTCAACTATTCCTTTGTGTAGCAAAAATGTGAAACTATATCTCCTTCAATATGTCATTTTTGACTACTGTGGGTTAGGTTGGAGGCTTGTAATGTAGAAAAACACTTTAACTTTGCTTTTTGAGGTTTCCGAATGCCTTCTTCAAAACCACACTTACTACCATTGGGTTGATTCTGACTCACAGTGACCTTATATGGCAGAATAAAACAGCACCATTGGGTTTTTGAGGTTATAAATCTTCACAGGAGCAGAAAGTCTCACCTTTCTCCCATGGAGCAGCTGGTGGGTTCAAACTGGTGACCTTGCATAAGCAGCCCAAATTGCAACCCACTACAGTTTCAGGGCTCCTTACTGCATATACATTTCAGAAACTTCTAAAATTGTCATCAAGCATTTTAAACTTTGTGATATTTGTAAACTGCTTTGCCAAAAATATTTTCATAAAGCACTTGACACCTAGAGATACCATATGCATTTTTTCCCAAAGGTACAACTCCCTCAGCACCATGCCATTTCAAAGTGCACTATGCCCTATGTCAGATGTGTAGGGACGTTATTTATGTGAGTGCCTTCTTTGTAGGAAAAGGACAGTAAGTACCATGAATAATACGATGATGGAAGTTTTTACAAAATACTCATGTATATTCTCTGGGACTAGGAAACTTGTGCTATGATACACCCAAGAGTAAACATAATTTAGAGATATGAGTTGTCCACTAATTTGGACTACTAAGTTGTCCACTAATTGATTTTCACACTTACCTTTAAAGTTACTGTTCACAAGTTCCTTACGATTGGAACATTGAAGGGCATTTCCATAAACTAAATCCAAAGCACATAGCAGAAGGTGATAAGAATTGACCAAATCATCACTAATCATGGGGAAATTACCTACAGGATTAAAACACCTTTAGTTAAATTTGCATCAATGCTACAATACATAAAAATAATTTCTTCCTTTAGTTGTAACAATATATAACACTGTACAAAGTTGATTCCAAAGTGCTAGAGATATATTTCACTCAATGCAGACCTTCTGTAAGTTAAATGAGATAAGGGAGAGAAAATAAATTAAATCTAAGGGCACTTGTCTAAGCATATTTATCTGAATGAGACACAATTGAAAAAGTAATTGAACTACTCTGAGGTGATCTGTCTTGGAGCACCCAGTAATGCATGCCCTGCAACAAAAACAAAAACAAAAAGTATATGAGGGTAATGTAAAAGTATTGCTATGAATCTCAAAATATGAAACTGTTTAACATATCCTCCATCTATATCTATACACTTCTGAAGGTGGTATTTCCATCTCTCTACCCCATCCCCTAAAAGAATTCTGCACCATGTCAAAATGACAGTTTGGCTAACTTCAGGGGACTCACAATTGTGTACCTTTGTAAAATGTTCTCTCAGTTTGGGGAACCAAAAAAAGCCTAGAAAGGGAAGGTTTCCCAATGAAATTCTCATAAGATGAGCAGGTGCACTGCCATGAAAAAAAAAAAAATCTCTCAACATACCTTTCCTGCCTTTTTTCTGATCATGCAAGTTTCAATTTTTTAAAACTTCTTTACAATAAGCTCCTGTGATCATCCTGTGATCTCTGAACATTTTTATCAAAATCATCTCTGTGGATCCCCAGAGAACAGTTGCTACCACCTTCCTTTTGTTTTTGCCACCACCTTCTCAATGTACCTCTCTACCTTGAATTTAAATAGTCCAAAACATTTAAACATGTTTTGCTCAGAATAAACACTGCATGTATGAACTGGTACCCATGTAGCAATACTCTTTTACTTAAGCTCATACACAGACTAATGTGTATTTTCAGTCTATAACTCATAACAGCTTTGAGGGGGAAGGTTGTGTAAGAACAAATCAAACAATTTTCCATTAATGAGAAAGTTTAGATAGTATAAGAAACTCATTTTATCAAAAGGCATTATTTACATGTCTGTAATATTTAAACTGAACAATAATAGGACATAAAAATCTAATTAAAAAAGGCAAAGGACTTTTTTTGTGTGCCATTAGTAATTAAAAAGAACAAAAAACAATTTCTCTTGAGTTGATGCCCCCTCATCACCCATAACAGAACTGCTTCACAGTGTTTCCAAGGCTGTAATCTTCATAGAAGCAGATTCTCGCATCTTTCTCTTGCAAAGGGGCTGGTAGGTTCAAATGAAAGTTTAGCAGTATCATTAGTCATTACTGCTGACAATCAATGCTGACACACAGCCAAACTAAAGAAAAGAACACCACTATCCCATGAGGCTTCAGAGCTGCCAATCTTTATGGACTCACATGGCCTTATCTTTCTCCTGTGGGGTCTGGTGGGTTCAAATGGGTGGCCTTTTGGTTAACAGTCCAGTGCTTAACCCACTGTGCCACCTGGGTTCCTTCATTAGTCATTAGGGGAATAGGACACAATCAGACACTGGTATCTCCACCTTTTCAAAAGTCCCTTCATTTTCACAAGAGGCCTACATTAGTACCTATTTTCACTTATCAAACTAAATCCTCTTTGCTTTCATTGAGAGACCAAAAATGACGCTAACAATTAGCATCTGTTTTGCAGTAAGCCGTTGAAGAGGTGGTCTGCATTCCTGCAGCCGGAGAGGTGTCCTCAAGCCGCTCCCCTCCACTCGGGACCTCAGCATTAAGTTGCCCTCGCTTTCAGTTGTGTCTGTGATCACTGTGTTATTCGGTATGACTTGATAGCTTGTTTTTAGGCCTAGGAATGCTCAAAAGTGTTTCCCCATATACATTTATGGTAATTGCTTCACTTTACACCATTTCAGTTTACAAAGTTTCACAGCAATGTTCTTTTTTCTGATAGAAGGGGCCCCTGTGCCACATTACTCCCACTACAATGGCTGCTAAAAACAGAGAGGCAACAACCGCAAACGAGAATATCACAGGCGTCGCTAGGAATGTAGAGAAACTGGAACCCTCATTGAGTGCTGATGTTAACGAAAAATGGTTAAGTTGCAATGGAAAACACTTTGGCACTTCCTCAAAAAGTTATACATAAAATTACTACATGACCCATAAGTTTCATTCCTAGATCTACCCATAAAAGCTGGAAGCAGGAGCTCAAACAGATATTCTCCACCGCAGCTGTCTTTGTGATAAGCAAGAGCGAATTGGAAACATTACACACAATGTGAAATATGCCAGACACACAAGAACACGATTGGAAAATCCCATCTATATGAAATTTCCAGAACAGACAATCACATGGAGACAGAATGCTTAGGAGTTACCATGGGTTTGGAAAAGAAGAATCAGGAGTTACTTACTGCTTACAGAGTACAAAGTATCTCTTTGGGGCAATGAAAATGTTTAGAAGGGCAATAGTGTTGACACTTGAATGACACTGTAAATGTGACTTTATGTCTCTCTGGATTGAGTATTTTAAAATGTTAAAATGGAAAGTTTTAGGTTGAGTATATTTAGGATGTTACATTCAACCTATTTTTTTATTTAAGGGAATCTGGGTTTAAAACCCTTGAAAAAATTTTCAGTAAAAATTTTTTCTAATTAGATAGTGCCCGGCTATCAGAAAAATAGTGTCTGGGTTCATAAAGGCGTGTTTCCAAACAAGCAGCCATCTAAGTGAGATGTCAACTAAATCCACATGGAAGAAGCTCATCAACATCAGTGACAGGGATGGTAAATCACATCATCTGAAGCCTAAGGAGGGAATAGTATCAGAGCCTAAATTGTGAGAATGTGGTTTGCAGAAGGCTATGGATGACATTGAGGGCCTAAGATAAATCTGTGGCATCTACATAGGAAATAAGCCTCTGGTGGTTTCCTTCTATCCATAATAGATGAATGAGAAGAAAACTGGTCACCAAACAGAGTGCATTGAAGAGATAACTACGTACAGAAGATCAAAATGATAAACCTGACTTGACCAGCTAAAACCTTGTCAGTTGAGCTCCCCACCCCCCCACCCTCATGCATGGGTTAGCTCTGATCTGGTTTTCTGTAATTTTGGGGGGTTGTGTTTGTTCATATCAGGGTTTATTATTTTTTTTTAATCAGGGTTTATTTAAGATGTGTTTTCTCATTGGGGGTAACCCTCCTGAATTTTTGTAAGGTGTCTGTCTGTTTTTCAGTACATGAAAATCAGGATTGATGAACCTATCAGGATCAAGTAGAATAAGGGTTTCTGTGGGAACTGTGTGTGTGTGTGTGGGGGGCCCCTAAAAGGGAGCAGATGTCAAGGAGTTCAAGAAGGAAAAGAATGTTTTGAAACTGATGTGGTAGCAATTGCGAAATACTGCTTGATGTGATTGAGCTATGGAATGGTATCTATATCAAACCCCAACAAGATGGATAAAAAAATTTTTTTTCTAGATATATATCATGAGTTGCTGAAAGTAATGTCTAACCATTGAAATAATCGAATATATGAATAAATATTACTATATTCTTACCTTTTGCATATATAAAAAGCACCCAGCAAAACTGGAAAACTTCAGTCACAGTACAAGGCTGTCGCCTGTGAAGAAGAAAAGCAAGCATGAACAATAGAAAAACTTACTAAAAATACATTCCAAATGACTATCAATGAAATAATATACACAGAGTTAGAGGGAATAATATCAGATTTAGTTTCACACGGAAAATACCTAAGAAGTTCTGCCCAAAAATTATTAGGAAATAGCTGGGAGTTAGAGAAAAACCTCATTTTGGAAGTAAACTCTAAGAAATTTTAAAAGCTTTTCAAACTCAAAACAGGGAAGGTGGAGTTAAATGTTTTAATAGTCCTTCTGATGACATCCTATTGTATTTTGCTTAATTGTATTTTAAGAATATGTGTGTATCAGAGAAGCCAGGACAGATGAACCCCTCAGGACCAGTGGTGAAAGTGGCAATATCGGGAGGGGGCAGGGAAGATGGGATAGAAAGACAGAACTGATCACAAGGATCTCCATATAACCCCGTCCCTGGGGGGCGGACAACAGAAAAGTGGGTGAAAGGACACATTGGAAAGTGTAAGACATGACAAAACAAGAATAATTTATAAATTACCAAGGGTTCGTGAGGGAGGGAGGGTGAGGAGGGAAGGGTAAAAATGAGGAGCTGATACCAAGGGTTCAAGTAGAAAGAAAATGTTTTGAGAATGATGATGTACAAATGTACAAATGTGCTTGACACAATAGATGGATGTATGGATTGTGATAAGAGTTGTACGAGCCCCCAATAAAATGATATAAGAAAAAGAATAAGTGTATATCTGTATTTATTTTGAAAAAATTTGTAACAAAGGTATATAATTTGTATAATTGCTCTTATCTATCAATAAAAAAGGAGAAAACTCTGAGCCAGAGTAAACTGATAAACGTTGCAGACTTTTCCAGAAAGCACAAATTCATAGTAGTTTTCTTTTTTTTTTAATAGTAGTTTCTTCTCTCCTCCCCTCAGTTTCTCTATTCTTGACTGGTTGTAAACACCAAATTAAGAAGGTATTTGATTATCAAAGAGAAGTATTATTCAATTTTACGTATACTCAATAATAAAAAAAACAGTGGCTAAACTTTACACCTACGAGAGGTATATTGGTGAAAATTCCCAAGGTCTGAGTTTTGCAATCTGCATTTGTAATAGTTTAAATAAATGGGAAAGTCTGAGAAAACAAAGAGCCCATATAATTTTCTATTTAAAAGAACTTTTCCAACACCTCGTCGCTCTCAAAAATTTATTATCAAGAGAAAAATTCAAATGATGGAAAAAATATCTCAGACCTTGCACATCTATCTTTGGTTAAAAGAATTATTTATTAAATCACATGTCTTTAAGATTAACAAATAAAAAGGACAGAGAATGACCAAAATTGTAGCACAATTGCACATTCTCAACTAATATAAATAAAGTGCTTACCTCTGTTTTCTTCCCCTTTGTTGCCGGGGATGATCCTCTTGAGGATATTTAAAAATATCCTGAAAAATGGGCTCATATTTCTTAAAAATGACAGCAGAGACAGTAAAGTCTCTTTCTAGTCTCTGCGTGCGCTCTCGGAAGTGTGACGGGAGGGCCGCCATGTCTTCCCACTTCTTCATCTTGTTAAAAAACTCGATCAAGCTGATATTTAAGATTTTAAAATGAGATATTTTTATAGTGAACATGAAGAAAAATGAATACATATGTAAAAATATGTAAAGGTAAAACAAAATTACTTTGTAATATTCTTAGGTAGTGATAGATTTAAAATCATAACTCATTCATCAGGCTAGCTTAATCTCTTACAGATTACAGATTGGAGTAAGTACCATTTCCTGACCACTTCCCCAAAGATAACCATTATTCAAAAGTTACAAACATTCTCATTCATGTTTTTATATTATATATAGATACACACACATGAGATAATGAGCAGGGTTTAAAAAATATATAAAACATTTTTCCATTCACTATTTCAAAAGTTTATTAACTTCAAAAGTAGATACATATAACTGTCATTCATTCATTTTAACTACTCAAAGCATTCTTTCATATGAACACAGCTCTTTGTATCCCTCCACAGTCAATGGAGATTTAAGTTGTTTCTAATACCCTTGTACATGCATGGAAGAGCTTCTTTAGGGGCTCTTATAAGACATGGAATTGCTGGATCAGAATAATCACATTCAATTTTATTAGACTGTCAAATGCCCTGCCAAAGCAGCTGCGGCAGTTTGTACACTCCCCTATGGACACCAACACTGTCATCCACTCCTGTTTCCTTATACACTGACAAAACTAAATGCTATCTTTTAACTTTTACTTCTTTGACTACTAGTAAGATTGAGCTCTTTGTCCTATATTCATTAACTATGTGAGTTTCAGCCTTTGAAAAGTCACATTCTTTTATCTACTTTTTAGGGGAGTTTTGTCTATTGTTTATTAGTAATTCTTTATATAATGTGGGATATTAATCCTTCATCAGTTAATATGCATTGTAAATCTCTTGTCCCACTCTGCTCTTTTAAATCCAGTTAGTCCATATGGCAGAAAAGTAAATAATTTGAACCAATATATAAAAAATCAGAAAAAATTGGGGTTTATGAAATAGAAACCCGGGAATATATATTTGCATAAAAGTTTCAAGTTTGTTACTGCAGTTTATTATAAGCCCATATTTTGACCTTTGCTTTTTAAATTCTTCATCTGAAACAATAGGATTACTCTGAATTCATTTTTATTTGTAAATGATGCTTTTGCACCTTACATAAATCCACTTCTGTAGCTTTAGAATCTGGGTTCAACTCTTGTTCTTAGACCCAAATATAATTGGATGGAGTTCATAGTTAATAAACAGACTGTAATTAAGCAATGCATTTCATATTATTTTAATATTAAGTAATATTTTAAAATCACCCTTCCAAATGCTACACATCCTTTTCTATCAGTTTTAATGGGCCAGAGAAGAATAATGGCCTAGAAAATACAAATAATAAAGAAAATAAAGCAATTATATGACAGAAAAAATAATTCATGCCTCATTTAAAAATAATATTTGGCCCTCTCCATAATTGATTACAAAAAACAAAAAGGAGCCTGGCAGTACAGTGGGTTACTCATGGGGCTCTAACCACATGATCAGCAAGCAGTCTGAAACTACTGGCAGCTCTACGGGAGAAAGATGAAGGTTTCTACTCCCTTAGAGATGTACAGTCTTAGAAACCCACAGGGGCAGTTCCGCCCTGTTCTATCGGGTTGCTATGAGTCAAAATTGACTCAATAACAGTGAGTTTTGAGTGAGATATAAATCATTATAATGGCATTACATATCCCCCAAAAGTAAATCAATAAATATTTCTACTTTCCTATATGTTGAGATGTAAAGCCTATAAATATAGTTCTAAATATAATACCATACATACAATCAACATTGTAACTGCATTTACCAATCAATGTCTTTACTTAGAAATCTCCCATTACTACAATTGTGAGTCACAACTTTCATAGTAAACGCTCCAATAAAAGTTCTCCTAATACTTAAACATTTAAATATTTTCACCAAAAATGTAAAATCTACTGGATACTAACAGATGTGGGAAAGAAAATCCACAACCTAACTTCTAGATTCAGCACCCCACAGATACAAGTACTTGGAAAACAATGAAGAGAGATGTTTTACTTATCACTAGAATTTATGAGCTTTATGATTAGTCTCAGTCTACTCAAATTCTATCATAATTACCTTTGCTCTGAACAGCGCAAAATTCTTGTTAAAGATACATAGTTTCCTTCAACTGTTCCTTTGCTCACAGTTGGAACACATTTTCTACAAGCCACATATAAGGCACATGCTAGCCAATGAAGATCATTTCCCTGTAAAAGAAAAAGTGAATTTAGTTCATAGATCCCAATACAAAGACATTCTTATGTTTAAATCACATTCATATATCTGTGGTTAGATATTTGTGCATGATGGCTTATTCTATATGCTATTTTCATAAAGTGATACTGACATTCTTCCACGAAGAAATAGTCTGTTCCTCATCTTGAACCTTGGCAGACTTTTTAAATTGCTTCAACCAACAGCACCAAGTGGAAGTGATGTCAGGTAGCTTCCAAGATCATAAAAGGCAATAATAGATTCTACTTGGCTCAAATATTTTCTGGACATGTTGCTCAGGAAATCTGACCAATACTTAAAAAGTAGGGCTTCCCTGACTGACACCATGCTAGCCGGAAGAGGCCACTCACATAAAGAGAGACGCCCAAAGGAGCTCCAGCTGGGCCAGCCCTTAACTATTCACATCTCCCAAGGAAGGCCCAGACTTGGTATAGACATGACTTCCCCTCTATGCCCTGTTTGAACTCCTGACCCACACAATCTGTGAGCATAATAAATTGTTCAATGCCACTACGTTTTATGGCAATTTGTAAAAGAGCCACAATAACGGTAACTGTATTACTGTGCATAATTTTTCATCTTGTTCAACATCCATAAAGTGAAAAAAAGAAATAAACACTTAAACTTTAATGTATATCCAATCACTAATTTCATGCATGATTAAATACATGAAAATTATTTCTTTAACCACACAGATAACATGCAAAGAGAATATCATTTTTAGGGCGCCATTTCTAAGAGATCATCTCCGTTCTTTTTACAAAGTAACACACTTTCCCAGCAGGCCTTTGGTTACACTGTATCCACAGCTGGTCTAAATGAAAATCAGGGAAACTGGAAATCCTGTATTTCCACATGTACACACAGACTTACTTAAGAACTTAGTATGGCATAGATTTTCTATTTGAAAAACACATATGTACAACATTTGTGTATTAAACACTTCTCTGGGAAATAGCTTCATAGTATTTCTGATTATCAGATTGCAAAGTAAGTTACATTTATACTAATTATATAGTGCGTTTCCCTACTATACCTACATTTCTTACTAAATGAGAATGAAGTAAGTCACAGTTACCCTGTGTTTCAACGAAAGGTTAGAAGTAGATTGTCTATAATGATCTTTGGTGGTCCTAAGAAATTCACAACTATTTAATTCCCCCAAAGAGGTAGAGCAAGGAACTAGAAGTACACATAAAACCTTGCTGTACTTGAAGTGGACTGGAGAGCTCTATTGAAAGAAATCTATACCCAGCAAGTGGGAACTAACAGTGGCATTAAAAATCGAGTAGTGCAAATACAAATAACACGTTGTTACTCAGCAGGGTGACATGGAGGCAGAAAGACCACATTATCCGTAGTACTATCTCAGGGAGCAGTCTGGGTGGCTCAGTGGTTGTGCATTGGGCTGCTATCAGCAAGGTCAACAGTTTGAAACCACCAGCCGATCCGAGGGAGAAAAGCCGGGCTTTCTCCTCCCATTAACAGTTCCAGTCTCCGAAACTCACAGGGGCAGCTCTACCCTGTCCTGTCGGCTGGCTCTGAGTCGGCACCCACTGGAGGGCACTGTGTTTGGTTTGTTTTTTTAATGCCTCCAGAGGCCTCTGCATCCTGAGCCTTCCGGCCACACTCCACACGCTCGCTGTTTATGAAACGAGTTAAGAAGCACAAAAACGACTGAACTATTTAATTGCACGATACGTGAATGCTATGCCAGCAAAACTGCTGAATGAAAGAAAGACGACAAGGAAAACAAACAAACGCTGCACACACAGGCAGCCGAGAAACCGGCGGACTCGGACTTCCGACTCGCTTCCCATTGGCCCGTGAAGGGGAGGTGCCAGCGGAGTTGACGGTCACTGGCTAGAACGGCCACCCTCCCTCGCAACTCCGTACGGAGGGCCACACCGTGGCAGGGTCGCGGGCACTTCGGGAGTCCCCCGATCCTGACTTCCCGGGGACGAAGGGGGCCGAGTGCCAATCTCCTGGCACACCGCTTCACCCGGGCTCGGCGCAGCCTCCTCTTACTGCTCCCCTCGGCCCGGCCCCGTGCCCTGCCGCCGTCCCGGCCACACCTGTGCACCTGGACTTGGCGCCCGAAGGGCCACGCAGCCCCATTCCTGAAGTGGACACGGCCACGGCCTCGGCCTCGCGGCGTTACTTGGGGGCCAGAGGTGCTTTCCGCACGGAAGCCCAGAGCTAGGAGTGGGAGCGGTTCACCCTCGGAGCCGCTAGGGTCGCTCTAGGCGCCGGGCTTCCCGGACCTTCCGCGGGCCGAGCCTGGGAGGGAAGGGCCCACTCCCGCGGGGGTCGGGCCAGGCCGGGCAGCCCCTGCGCCCCCGGCCGACTCACCTCCAGCGTGTAGCTCTCGCTCATGCGGCGGTAGCTCTCCCAGGCCTCCACCCGCGCGGCCTCGTCCATGTTGAGGCGGCTGCACAGCTCCTCGAACCGCTGCAGGGTCTGAGCGGCCGGCGATGGAGCCGACTGCGCCGAGTCCTGCGCCTCGATCTCGCCCTCTTCCTCCTCCTGCTGCGAGCCCGCAGGCGGCGGCAGGGGCGGCGGAGACTGGTCGCTTCCCGACGGCATAACGCACCCCTGGGCGGCGAGTCCTCAGAGGAGCCCTAGGCCAGGGCCCAGAGTCATTCAAACCTCTAGGCGCCGGTCGGTCGGCCGCCCTCACTGGACTGCGCCGCCTCCAACGGCGCTGGCCCAGGAGTAGGCACCCGTAGCCCTGAGCGGGGTCTGCTGGGAAATGTAGTCCATACGGGGGCCCACGGAGGCCAAAAATCCTCTTAAAAGTCAGTATTTACGTCTCCTAGCTTCCTCGTGTGATGGTTCAATATGGCTGGACTCAAGAGAAAACATCCAAGAAATATTGACTGATACATGAAAGTTTAATATATAAATTGTCCCCAGGAATTATTACTTCCTCCTTGCCTGGGTTACCTTATCTTAAAAATAAGGACAATAGCAAGTGGCCTATTTGTCTAAATTAAAATTTCAGTTCTATTGTAAATTTCAAGGTTTTTTTCAGCTGTAGGTTTTTTGTAAACTTTTGTTGTTGGTGGTGGTGGTGCCATCCAGTCGGGTCGGACTAATAGTAACCCTATGCCCAACAGAAGGAAACACAGCCTGGTCCTGTATGATCCTCACAATTGTTCCTATGTCTGAGCCCAACTCGTTGAATTTCACCCCTTCACTTTACCAAACATGATGTCCTTCTCCAGGGACTGGTCTCTCCTGACAACACGTCCAAAGTATGTGAGACAAAGTGTCCTTTTAGCAGTCCATGGTAATTCGAATTTTTTTTCTTAATGAACTAATTTATTCTTCCAGTGAGCAAATATCACTGTAAATAACACATTTGTACTATCATTACCCACCCAGTTGGTGAAACTTAATTCCTTTTAAAATATTTTTTACTTGCTCTTTTCACATATAGTAGATTTGAGTTACTTTATTTCCAATCCTCTTTAAATTTATATGCAGGAGTAGTGTACAATATTATCTTGTTTAAGAAATTGTGTCAAACCAAAAACTCACTGCCATCAAGTCAATGCTGACTCAGCAATCTAAGACTGTAACTCTTTACAGGATTAAAAGCCTCATTTTTCCCCCCTGAGGAGCCCCTTGGTATTTTCAAACTGCTGACCTTGCAGTTAGCAGCTAGCAGCCCATTGTGTGACAACTACACCCTTAGGGCTCCTCTGGCTAGTTTACATAACAAAAAGTAAACAGGATACCTATTTAGTGTTAAGACATATATCAACTATCATGAAGGGGAGAAAAAAAATCACATACTTGGTCATTAGTTCTTCTCCTATCTCCTATGAGCTTCCTGCGCCCATAAAGAGTTAACAGTCTTGGAAACTTGTAAGAACAGGTCTACCCTGTCCTAGAGGGTTGCTATGAGTTAGAATTGACTCAACGGCAGTGACTTTGGTTTTGGAGCTTTAGCTCAATAGCTAAAAAAAAAAAGTCTATTTTTAACCATAAAGCATTAATTTTCAATGATGCAGGAAGCATCAAAAGATGGGAAGAAATACAGAGTCACTGTACCAAACACACAAAACATTATTGGACATCCCACCATTTCATGAGGCAGCATAGGAGCATGAAGCAATAGTGCTAAAGGAAGTTCCTTCTGCACTGAATGCAGTAGCCAAACACAAGGACAATGGTTAGATAAGTTCATGTCAGCTTGAAGATGTATGAGTGTCAGGGTGAAGCCCAACCTGTGAGTCAGATCAAAGCCGATGCTGTCTCCCTGGGGGTGTGGCTTCTTGTGAGGAGGACTCTAGGACCTCCACTCTCTCTTTCCCTTCCCTCCCCTTCCCTTCCCTTCCCTTCCACTTGCCTTTCCCTTCCTGCTTGCTGGTTACCCAGAGAGCTGCCAAGCCCTGCCATATCTCCACTGTCCATGGATCCACGGGTCTCTGCACCCACCAGCCTGTTATCTTCCTGTATTCTACATCACTGCATGTGGTTGTAAGAGTCTGATACTTATGGACTAGTATCAGACTTACGGACTTCAGTTGATCTGAGCTGGGATGTTTTCTTGATATAAAGCTCTTTCATACACATAAAGGCGTATCGGTGGGTTTGTTTCTCTAGTCAACCCAGCTTAACACAACAAGGAATACAAGTAAAATTCTGCTTAAGATCATCCAACAACAGTTGCAGTCATACATTGAGAGGGAACTGCCAGATGTTCAGGCCAGATTCAGAAGAGGACATGGAACAAATGGTCACATGGATCTTGGCTCAAAATAGAGAATACCAGAAAGATGTTTACTTGTGTTTCATTGATTATGCAAAGGTTGTGGGGACTGTGTGGCTTACAATTAACTGTGGATCACCTGGAGAAGAATGGGAATTCCAGAACACTTCATTGTGCTCAGGAGGAACTTGTACATGGATCAAAGGCAGTTGTGTCAACAGAACAAGGGAAAACTACATGGTTTGGAATCAGGAAAGGTATGATACAAGGTTGTATGCGCTCACCATACTTATTTCAATCTACATGCTAAACAAATCATCAGAGAAGCTGGATTACATGCAGAAGAATGTGGCATCATCCTTTTTTTAAAAAATCGTTTTATTAGGGGCTCATACAACTATTACTGCAATTCATACATACATCAATTGTGTAAAGCATATTTTCACATTCATTGCCCACATCATTCACAAATCATTTGCTTTCCACCTAAGGCTCTGGCATCAGCTCCTCATTTTTCCCCTCCCTCCCTGCTCCCCCCTCATGAACCCTTGATAATTTATAAATTATTATTTTGTCATATCTTGTCCTTTCCGA